TCCAGTCACCAAATACTATAAATGTATGATTCCATTTATTTGAAATATCTGGAGGAGGCAAATCCATAAAACAGAAAGCAGATTTGTGGTTTCAAGGGACTGTGGGGAGGGGATAAAGGGGAGCCACTGCTTAATGGGTATGAGGTTTTCTTTGGGGGTGGTGAAATGTTTGAATCTTGACAGAAGTAGTTGCACAACATTGTGAATGTACTAGATGCTACTGAATTGTATACTTTGAAATGATTAATTTTATGCTATGTGAATTTCACCTAAAAAAACCCCAATATTCATTTAAAATGTATTCAATTATTGGATCCCTCTCTCTTCTCCAATAATGTTAAAATAGCTACTAAGCATCAAATGTTAAAAAAAAAAAATTAAAAACTTAATGGGAGCTGTATTAGTCTCCTAGGACTTCCATAAGAAAATACCCAGACTGGATAATTTAGAACAAAAAGAATTTATTTTCTCACAGTTCTCACAGTGAGAAAAATTCATTTCTCACAGGCTAGAAGTTCAAGATCAAAGTGTTAGCAAGTTTAATTTCTCCTGAAGCCTTTCTCCCTGGCTTATAGATGGCTGTCTTCTACCTGTGTCCTCACATGGCCTTTTCTCTGTGTGAGCACCTCTCTTCTGTCCTTTCCTCTTCTTGTAAGGTCAACAGTCAGATTAGATTAGGGCCCCACCTCTATGTCCACCCCTAGGCTTAAGGTTAATTACCTCTTTAGAGGCCCTATCCCCAGAAGCCTTTGCAGGGGTTAGGGCTTCAACATACGAGTTTTGGAGAAACACAGTTCAGTCCATAACAGAGATCAATGCAACAACATCAGCAAGTCAGACTCACACACATCCTCTGCCTAGAAGTTTTTCCTTAAATTAATATTTAAATTTAAACAGTTCCAACAACTGTTTTTGACATTTTTTGTTGATGTCATTGTTGGGATTGAACAAAATTATGTCAAAGTTACTTGGAAGAACAAATATATGAAGAAGTCGCAAATTATTTTTAAAGAAAACAAATGAAAGAGAATTTGCTGTATGAGATATTAATGTATAGTACATTAATGAATAGTACAGTAATGTATACTACAACAATAAGAACAGTCTAGAGAAACACCAGAACAAGTCATTTTTTTCTTGATAAAACAGGAGTGAAATGTCCAGAAATAGACTCAAGTATGTACTAGAGAGTGTTATATGGAAAAGCTAGTATTTTAAATCAATAGAGAAATAATTTAAAAAAAAAAAGGCACTGGAATATCTAGATAACCTTTTACAAATACAATTAGGTTAGATTTCTATCACAAACCATCTACCAAAATAAAATCCAGAAAGCTTAAAGCTTTAAGTGTTTAAAAAATATACACATACCTACAAACACATACATACAAGCATGCTACATAAAGAAGTCCTACAAATCAATATGAATAAGACAAACAATCCAACATAAAAATGGGCAAAAGATATGAATAGGCACTTCTTTAAAAAGGATATCCAAATGGCCAAAAAAAGATCTGTAAAAGGCCTTAACATCATTAGTCATAAGGGACATACAAATGAAAACTCCAATGAGAACCAACTAACTGGAAAAAGGCAAACATGCAAAGTAACTTGAACTCCTTTATGCATTGCTAGTGAGAGTGTAAACTGGTACTACCATTTTGGGAAACTGTCTGGCCGAATAAGTCTATCCTATGACCCAGGAACCCTATACTCTGGTATATGACAGAGAGATAAGCATTTATGTCCACCAAAGACACATACAAAAAAGTTCTTCCTAGTTGCAAGCTGTAAACAATCCGATGTCAACCAACATCAGAATTGATCAATAGTTTGTGGTATAATCATACAATGGAATACTGGCTCAGCAATCATAAATAATATTTACTACTACACGTAAGAATATAGTTGAGTCTCACAGACATAGGCCAGAACAAGAGTCATACTGTCTGATGTTCAAAAGCCAGAAAAACTAAGCTATGGAAGCAAAGATCAGAACAGTACTTAACTTTAAGAAGGGTATTCACTGGGTGGGGACATGGGGGAAACCTGCTAGAGTACTGGAAACAGTCTATCCTTGACCTGGGTGCTATATGTGTGGATGGATACATACTTAAAAATTCATCAAGCTTCACACTTTTTTGAGCGCTTAACTCTATGTAAGAAAAAAGGAAATACACACATACTGAAAAGTACTAAAAGAAAATATAGATGGGGAACAGTTACATAATCTTAAGAGATAGGGAAGGTCTTTGTAAACATGACCCAAAGATAAAAACTAGAAAGAGAAAAATGAATTTAACTTCATAAAAATAAAACAAATAAAACCTCTACATGGCAAATAAGCTAGGAAACTTTTTTGCAATTATATAACAAAGAATTACAATTTTTATATAGGAAGAATTAAAAAATTTAATATATAGGAAGCTCTCAAAAATCAATAAGGAAAAGACAAGGGCACAGCAAGGACATTTACCAAAAACAAAAATAAATAGCCATTAAACATATAAAAAGAATACAAATTAAGACAAGATACTATCTTTCACTTATCAGGCAAAAATAAAAATATATTCAGAAGTGGTGTTGGTATAGGGAAATAGCACTCTCATATATTATTGGTGGAGCCATAGAATGGCAACTTCTCTGAAGGGTATTTTAAAATATAGTACTTTCCGAAGACCAGAATGAGCACATTTCCTTAGCCAAGCAATTCCACAACTAAAAATTCATCTTAAGGGAAAAAAACATGACAAGCTTGTAAAATTTCTGTACAATGATGGTCAATGCAGCACTGTTAAAAGCAACAAAATAAATTCATATAATAGATTACATATAAATTTTAAAATAGCTACTCTTTATGAAGCACATATGAACTAATTACATATATTATCTCATTTGGTTGTCACAAGAACTCTGAGAGCTATTATGCTATTCCCATTTTCATCTGAAAATGAGAAAATTGAGGTTCGGAGAAATAATGAGATTTGCCCAAGCTCAACAATCTAGTGAGTGACAGATACAGAATTAGAACAAACCTGGTCTGACTCCAAAAGCCAGTGTTCTTTAATTTAGATTACATTTATTGACAAGGGAAGAACATTTATAACACAGTGTTAAATGAAAATGCAGTTTATAGAACAATTGCACAGTTTGATTCTATTTTGTAAAATATACACATAACTATAGCTATTAGACGTACAGACGTGAGTGGGGAAATTCTACAAGGATATACATTAAAATGTTAATAAAGGTTCTCCTTTGGGTGTTTGGGGAATTTTATTTTTTTTTCTTTATGTTTGTTTTCTTTACTTTTCTACAGTGATTAAGTTTAATTTATAAATAGGAAAACAAGTCTACAAAACCAATGCCTCTTTGAAATTGTAAACCATAGCCTATCACCTATTTTACTACAAATGCGAAGTCTATTTGCTCCACACATTTTAAATAAATAAATAAGGCAGATCCTTCATACATTTATACTCAGCAAACACATCTTGAGCACTTACTACGTTCTGGGAACTATTACATAAATGATTTTGCTTCAGTGTACCTAGATTCTCCTATTTGCGCCTAAGTATGGCATCAAGGGTATCCACTCTCCCTCTCATATCTTGATCACAACTATCTGCATTTGGATTTTAAATGTTATCTCTAATTATTGAGGGCAATTAAACCCATATTAAAGGCATATCTGATATTATACTACCAATGGTTGGCTTGCCTCAGTGATTTTAGGCTTTGAAGAGTCAGACAAATAAATGTCTCATCAATCACCTCTATACTGCCCTACTCCTGAAAGTAGGGGGCATGCTGGCCTGAAGTGGATTCTTAAAGTTTATTTCAAAAGGGGAGGGCCACGTCTCAAAACCCAGACCACAGCGGACACCACCATCAGGTGCAAATTCCCCACTTGTTAAATATTCCTTCTCCTATCTTCCCCCCACCTTTCTTACTCCCTTTCTTTCTGGAACCCTGGGTCCTAACCCTAACCCTCCCTTCTGCTATAATCCCATCAAATGGGGTGATTTTAGAACACATTCTCACTGGATCTCCTCTCTTTCCTTTAGACTTCCATGTATGTCTCATTCAGAAAAAATAATAATAATAATAATAAACAAAACAAAACAAAAAACACACACACCGTGGGGCTTTCACAGCCAAGACAGCTCTTCCCAAAGGGGAGGAAAACAGCTGCTCACCTGTCCCTGGAGACAGAGAAGGGGATGATCCCGCAGCAGTGAATGCCCAGGGGTGCGTGGTGGTGAGGGTGGGGAAGAGAGCAAATCTCTCCGCTCTACACTCTATTGTGAGGAAGGATCCATCTGATTTTGCTAAAATGAGTGTTAGGAGGATTAAACTCTTCCTGGTACCACTGAAAAACAGCACGGGCACTGTTTGTACAGGCAGGATTTTTCAAATGGGTTTTGCAAAGTAAAAGCACACACACACACACAGAGGATTTGGCCACATCGCTACAATACCGATTAGAGTCTAAAGCAGACGAGCAGTTATTAGCACATTCACTAGCACAGTGCCCAGCACTAACACCGTACTGCCGGCACGACTGCGGTTAGACAGGAGTCGGCGGGACGAAGCGTGGATCTGATTGGATGGCAACGGTGAGCGCCGAGCGGGGGTGCTGCCCTCCCGTGGTCGGCCGCGGCTTCCCCGGCTAACACTTCGGTGGCGATTAGAGACCTGCGGTACCCGAGCGAGCCCGGTTCACGCACCCGCTGTGAACCTCCGCACGAAAAGGCGGCGGTACAGCTCTGGGGCCCCGGCTCACAGAGCCCGGAGCCTAGTGGCTGGGCGGTGGTGACCGCCGCGTGTGCGCATTACCTCCTCTCACGGGAAGGGCGCTCGCCCCGCGCTCGCGTCCGCACCGAGCGTCAGCGGATTGGGCACTCCTGGCGGCGCCCGGGCCCGAGGCAGCCCTGACCCGGGCAGGGGTGGCGGCGCCCGAGCACCCCCAAGCGCCCGCGCACTGAGGCCCGAACAAAGCGTGCGGGCGGCAACGTCGCGCGCCCTGTGGAGGTCACCTAGGAGACCAGGCCGGCCCCGCCCACGGCGTCCGGCAGCCTAGCCCCGCCAGGGCGGAAAATGCAAGAGCCTCCCCAAGAGGGTCCCGCAGAATCCTTGGCACCTGAAAGCACAGCCAAGTCCCCGGATGACAACCACACAGATGGCCAGGAAGGCAACTGGCAGAACCAGGATGAAGAAGAGGTAGATGACCAGACTGATCCCAGAACGGCTGAGCAGGTTGCCCAAAGAATGTCCGGACAGACTGACCACAAAGGATCTGAACCCACTGGGCGCCAAACATCTGATCAGGCTGATCTCAGAGCCTCCGACCACGCTAATGTTGCTCAGCGTAGTACATCTGATCAGGACGACCAAAGAATGTATGAACAGACAGACAGCAGGACATCTAGCCAAGCCAGCCATGTACAGTCTGAAGAGACTGACAGCCAGATGTTTCCTCCACGTGAACAAAGAACTTCTCAACAGATTGAACGCAGACGGTCCAGCCAGGTTGAAGGAAGAGATTATGGGCAGACTGACCGCAGAAGGTCCGACCAGACCGAGCCAAGAGCTTATGAGCAGAGTAATCGTAGATTGTCTAGCCAGTCGGACAGAAGAACTTCTGAACAGATTGACGGTGGATTGTCGGTCTCATCCGAACAAGGAGCCTCTGAACAGATTGGCCGCAGAACTTCTGAACAGATTGACAGCAGGTTGTCTGGCCTGGTTGAACGAAGAACTTCTGAAAAGACTGGTCACCAAGTTGACCCCATAACATCTCTAAAGACTCAGCAAAAAGTGGATGAGGAAGCTGCTGAAGGAGCTGAGCAGCAAGCTGACAGCAGTGCTGATCACCTTCCCGTGGACAAGGCTGACTACAGTGACCAGGTGGATCACTTATTGGCTGAAGAGAATTCCTACAAAGACCACCTCGCTGACTATGGAGCACCTGGCCAGTACGACGACAGAATATTTGCCCAATTTGGTGACATTAAGGGGTACAGAGAGGCTGAGCCCAGAATAGAACCCTGCGAATTTGAGACCAGAGAAATCGACGGGGACAATTCCCCAGTTTCAGGGGAAACAGACACGGAAAGTGCGACCAACGTGCAAGTGTTTGACTCATTTGGTGCCAGATTCAACAGTAATTTGCAAGCAAAAGACCAAGTCTATTCCCAGAGATTCCCCTGTATCTCATCCAAGTTGGACTATATCATCGGTCGGGAAAAAACTGAAGCCATAGAAACCAAGCCTGTAGGTTAAAGGGGCATTTGATAACCAACCACCTAGGGGATTGGAGGCCAAACCAAGGGTTTGTTGTGGCGGTATGGGGGCAGGGAGAGGGCACGTGTTGAATCAAAGATGAGGAATAAACCTACCTGTTACAATTTATTCAGGAAGCGCAGGAGATTCCGAAAAGGCAGGAGAAGGGTGGTGGGAACTAGATTTGTTGCCCTCTCGGCTATAGGAAGGCCATTCAGGAAAGATCAATGAGCCAGGATTCAGGAGACCTGGGTTTCAAGTCCTAGTTCTGCTGCTTACTCTGGGACACTAAGTCATTTCCCCTCTCTGGGATTCCTCCAGAGGAAAGTCATTTGGAGTCAGTTGGAGATCCCTGTGAAGGGAAAAGTATTTGAAGTAGATTGGACATGCATAAGGTGCCTCCCGGGACTTGAGGCGCACTATGTTGCCAGGAGGATCAGTCAGGTTTGTCATCAGAATGTGTCTTTTCTCCAAGTCCTGGTGTTCAGGTCCCATCAGCATTAGATTCCACTGATAATAACAACAATAACAACAAAACTTCCTGGAGCTTTTGAATTTATTAAAGACTCTCTGCTGGGGTGGGGGGGTATTTCTATTTCAGGATGATATTCCAGAATACCAAGAAGGAAGGAAATCTTTTGGATACAATCAAACTTACAGGAGGCAGTTCCCTCCCATTGTATATGAAGATCCTTATCAAGTTTCACTACGATACATGGAGAAGCACCACATTCTGCAAATATTCCAGGTAAACCTCTCAACCCTGTTCTTTAAGAGTGAGTTTTACAGTGATTACAATGTAAAAAACAAACTTGGACCTGGCTTTTAAGAATGGGCCTTTGTATAAAAAGGATATAATCTCATTGAGAAGTCGGTAAGTGCACTGAGATGTATTAAGCAAAAGTAGTAAATGAGAAACACCAAAGAATGGGGGCACCTGGGGGGCTCAGTCAGTTGAGGGTCTTCGGCTCAGGTCATGATCCCAGGGTCCTGGGATGGAGCCCCGCATGGGGCTCCCTGCTCGGCGGGAAACCTGCTTCTCCCTCTCCCACTCCCCCTGCTTGTGTTCCCTCTCTGGCTGTATCTTTCTGTCAATTAAATAAATAAAATATTTTTTTTTAAAAAGTGTGACATTTCCTTGGTCAATAGAGAATTAGAAGAGATTATCACATTTACACCATGTTTTGTTATTTGGTGGGTTGTTTTTGCTTTTGTTTGCCTGACATAGTTATTTTTATGTTAATATTATTACCCAGCAAGGCACAGGTATGTATATTATAATGTGTACATGTAGTAATGTTATAGTTAGGAGGGTGTAAAATAAAAATGGCCCACCTCAAATGAAAATATGCAAACTGGGAGGAAAAAAAAAACATTTAAACTGGGAAAGTTTAAGTTTAAAGAAGTAGGGTATAGAGGCAAGAGCACAAATTATGCAATCTGTTAGCCTGAAGCTCCAACCTAACTTTGCCACTTCTCATCTTTGTGATTTGGAGAAAATTAACTTCAGTGAATCTCCGTTTCTTCATATAAAACAGTGATTTTACTCCATTAACCCTGCTCTATGCCTTTTCTTTCTTAAAATGTCCTTTTGTGGGAGAGTGCTAATGGCTGGGTTTTCTGGCTTTAATCAGAGAACTACTAATTATTAAACTGAAGGATGAAAGCTGTTGAAGAAAGTAGAAATCAAATCATTTTATAAATAATCTTCTTCATCTGTCAAGGAAAAACAATACTTGAGAATACAACGTTATTATAAGAAAAATTAGTTATCAAATATGTGTTCAATAGAAACATATATGAAATATGTAATTGGCATGGGTGCATTAAACGGATATTAAATATTTTACGCCTGAAACTTGCCCCATTGTTATTCCCTGCAAATGAGAATTCTGCTTACTTTATTATAATGTTTTGGGTTATTAAACAACAACAAAGTATGGAAGTGAATTTCTGAAGTTTTGTGTATGCTTTCTCATTTATTATTATAAACATGAAACATCTTTTTCACCTTTTAGAATCAAATGCCTCACAAGGAAGTTTCTATGTAAAGACACATCATGTTTTTAATTTACTCAAAAGACTTTTCTTTTGAATAAAGATAAAGTGATTAACTCATTAATTTCTCAGTCTAGCAAAATCACAATTCTCAAAACAAAGCTTTGTCCAAAACTTTCTCACTACCTGTTTGATCTTGGAAGCTAGAAAAATATCCATTGCTATTTATTACTAAATTTTTATTCCTCTAAATTTTACCTTAATTTGCCTAATTTTATCAGTAGTCAGAAAGTAATTTGTCACTTTGTAGAGATACATAAATTTCTTTAAAAGACTATGGTGCTAGGTTAGTGCAAAACATGGCTTTAGCTAGAACCTGACCACATAACTTTAGCTCAGAACCATAACGCGATGCCTCATGCTCTCTCTCAGCAGATCACTGAAAACTTAGTCTATGAAAAACCAGAGGACCCCCTCAGTTTTATGCTGTGCCAGGTATGGAATAGGAGAAAGAGAACAGCTTTTAATTCTGTTTATTGTAAAATACAGCACACGTACACGCACCCAAAACAAAACACATCCAACTCCGTGGGTTATCATGAAGCGAGCACTTATAAACTGTTGAATGCTAATGTCTTTTTAGCATTAGCCACATATTGATGGGTGAATAGTAATCTCTGCAGCGTCCATCTGCTTTTTCCTGATGACTAAGGCAGCTGCATACCTTTTGTTTATTGGCCATTTGGAAGTACTTCTTTTTCTATTGTATTGCTTGTCTTTTTCTTACTCATTTGTCACAATTTTGTATGTATTCTAGAAGGTGATGAGCCCTTTGTTGCGTTTCTTGCAGGTTTCTTCTCCTGCTCTCTGCCTTCCCTTTTTATCTCTTAAAGGTATCTTTTGATGAACAGAAATTCTTAATTTTGATACAGTCACATTTAACAACCTTTTAAATTTATGATTAGTACTTCTGGTGTCCTCTTTTAGAAGTCTCCTTAGTTCAAACTCCTGACATAGCCCCTTACATTATCTCATAGAAGTTTGTGGATTTTTTTTTTTTTTTTTGGTGGGGGGAGTTAAATTTAGTTTATTTTGCCTTTCACATTGATATCCAGTCACTTCGGAATTGATTTTGTGTACGGGTGTGAGGTGGGATCAAGTTTCATTTTTTTTTCCTAATCAGACATCCAACTGACCAAGCACCTTTTATTAAAAAGACCGTATCTCCCATACTGCTTTTTATTTGATTTTGATGGTACATTGCTCCATATAAGACTGTCTTAATTAGTAGGCCTTAAAATAAGTCTTAATATCAATCAGAGCAAGTCCTCACATCTTACTTTTCTTTAAAAATATCTTGCTTATTCTTAGGCCTGTGCATTCCCATATCAATATTTGGAGTTACTTGTCAAGTCACATACACACACAATCAGAAGCACACCCTGGTGGGATTTTTATTAGGATTGCACTGAATCTGTAGATCAATTTGGGAAGAAGGGTGGCTTGAAACAATGAGTATTTCCAATCCTTTATCCTCTGCATTTATTTAGGTCTTTAATTTCTCTCAGTACAGTTATTATTTGCATGAAGATTTTACATATTTTTGATAGATTTATTCATAGGTATTTTATAATTTTGATGCTTTTGTAAATAGAAACTTTTAAAAATTTCGGTTTCTATTTGCTGGCATATAGAAATACAGCTAAGTTTTTTGTTGATCTTATATCTAGCAACCTTACTAAATTCAACTCATTAATTCTAAACATGTATATGTAGATACTGTGGGTATTTCTACATATACAATCATATCATTTGCAAATAGTGACAGTTTTATTTGATCTTTCTAATCCTTATCTTTTTTTTCCACTTGTCTTATTCCATTTATTATGTATCTTCTCTTTGCCTCTTCAGATCCACCTTTTGCTCTTTTCTACCCTACAAAGTAGCTAATCCATATGGACTAGATCAACAGGCTCTCCTACCTTCTGACTTCTGGTTGGGTTAAGCCAATGGAAAACCCTGGAGGAAGATTAGGAGGAAAGAGAGTGAGATCAGGTTTATTTCCCTGGTCTTTTTCCTTATGATCTGTCTTGAGTTGTCTGGAGGTCCCTGCTCCTCTCAAGACATCTTTTTACATGATTCTTTACTTCTGAATTCCAGTAATGTCCCCTCCTCTTGACCTTCAAGGTTAAGGGGTTAGCTCCCTTTTACTAGCTTTGGATTATTGTGTTATCTTCTGTGACTCCCTTATGCCTAATTCTTTTATTTTTTTTTTTAAGATTCTTTCTTTCTTTATTTATTTGACAGAGAGACCGTGAGAGAGGGAACACAAGCAGGGGGAGTGGGAGAGGGAGAAGCAGGCTCCTGGCTGAGCAGGGAGCCCAATGCGGGGCTCAATCCCAGGACCCTGGGATCATGACCTGAGCCTAAGGCAGACGCTTAACGACTGAGCCACCCAGGCGCCCCTGCCTAATTCTTTTAAATGAACCCTTTCTGAATGAACCTCCCTTGAATTCTTCTACTTTGAAAGTGCCGTCTATTTTCTGTTGGGACACTGACTGATACCGTACACTGGTTAGGGATCTCCAGTCGAATTAGTATTGAATAGAAGTAGCTACAGTGGTTCACTTTGCTTGCTCTTGATCTTTAAAAAAAAAAGTTTTCCCTATTTAACCGTTACGTATGATGTTTGCGCTGTTCTATAGATACTAGTAATCATATTAAGGAAGTTCTTGTCTAGTCTGTTTTCTGAGAGTTCTTCATCATGAATCATTAACTTTATCAAACTATTTTTCTATAGCTTTTGAGATGATTGCATGATTTTTCTCCCTTATTCTGGTGATGTAGTAAAATATGTCTATTTTCATTTCTAAAACTTTTCAAGCATACATACAGGAAATTATACAGATCAAGACTGTACAATTTGACTAATTATCACTAATTTAATAGACCCATGAAACCACCCACCAAGTCAAGAGACAGAATGCTACCAGCTCCTCAAATCCCACATGGTGCCTATTTCCAATCACTACCCTTTCTCTTCCACAAAATAACCACTATTCTGACTTCTAGTTTAGTTTGGCTTTTTTAGATTTTCATATAAATGAAATCTCAAATATTATGTACTATTTGGGGGCTGACTACTCTTGACCAACAGTATGTTTATGAGATTCATTCATCTTGTGCATATTCATTCCTTTTCATTTCTGTATTCTCTATTCTGAGTTAGACTTTTGGTTGTTCTGAATAATGCTGCAGTGAACATTTGTGTACTTACCTCTTGGTGCATGTGTATGTGCATTTCTGTTGGGTTCAGACCTAGAAACGGAATTGCTAAGTCACAGGGTATTGACATAAGTTCAGCTTTAAAAGATGGCTGCCCAAAAGTTTTCCAAAGTACTTGATCAGTTTATACTCTCACTTAAAGTGGCATTGTTCTAGTTTTCTTCACGTTTCTTGTGCCATGGTACTTTGAACTTCTAGGAACTGTAGGCTCATGGTTTTCATCATATTTGGAAAGGAATCAGCCACTATTTCTTCAAACATTCTTCTGTCCCAGGCTCCTCCTCTAAGAACTCAATTACACATATAATGGGCTCCTTGAAGTTGTCTCACAGCTCACTTGATTCTCTTTATTAAAATTTTTTTCCTCTCTCTGTGTCATTTGGGATACCTTCTATCACTATGTCTTCAAGTTTACTAATCTTGTCTTCTGCAGCGTCTAAAGTACCATTAATAATAAAGTGCCAGTGTGTTTCTCACTACATACATCATAATTCTGTAGTTTCATCCCTAGGAGTTTAGTGTGTGTCTTTTCTAGAGTGAAGATATCTCTACTTTACTTTTTGCTCATGGAGAATACAGTTATAGTAATGGTTTTAATTTCCCTGCTTCTTTATATGTCTGGTAATTTTTTTTATTGAGATATAATTGACACATAACATTGTATTAGTTGTATGTATATGCCTGGCAATTTTTGATTGGTGTAAGATATTATGAATTTTGCCTTGGTGGGTACTGGATTTTTTTGTATTCTTGTAAATCTTCTTAGACTTTGTTTTGGGGCCCAGCTAATTTACTTGGAAACAGCTTGGTCTTTTGAGATTTTGCTTTTAAGATTTTTTTTTAGAGGAGCAGAAGAGTTTTCAATCTAGGGCTAATTATTCCTATATACTGAGGCAATTGAGTATTGAGTATTCTACCCAATGCCCCATGAATCATGAGGTTTTCCAGTTTGACTGGTGGTAATAGGTACTATTCCTATAGATCAATTTTCCATGGCTTCTGCTAGTTTTCTCACACACATGCACTGATGGATTTGCAGAGGACAATTTGAAGGTGACTTTCTGCAGCTTTCCAGAGTGCTTTCTGTGCCATTCTCTCATCTCTGGCACTCTGCCCTGTGAACTATAACTGCCTTGGTTTCCCCAGGATCTCACCTCCATCTTCTCAACTCAAGGGTCTGCCGAGTTCCTCTTGGGTTCTCATTCCCTACACTAACACCAGGACGTTTTCTGAAAACAGCAAGGTACATGCACATTTATGATTATTATGTCTTTCTGATTAATTGACTCTTATCATTATGAAATGTCCATCTTTCTCCTTGGTAATATTCTTTGCCTCTGATATTAATATAGCCAGTCCAGGCTTCATATCTTACAGTTTACTTGGTATATTTTTTTCATCCATTTATTTTCAACCTATCTATGCTTTATATTTAAATTGTGTCTCTTGTAAGTACTACATAGTTGGGTCTTTATTATCCTTTCTGATAATCTCTCCTTTTTAACTGAACCGTTTAGGACAGGGTAGGCAAACTATGGACCACCTGGTTTTAAATGGCCCACAAGGTTAGAAAGAATTTACCCTTTTAAAGTGGTTGAAGAGGATGGAGGAGGAGGAGAAGGAAGAAGGAGAAGAGAAATAAGTGCAAGGGGGAAGAGGCCTCATCAACAGCAACAGATAATTTGTGTCCTGCAAGGCCTACAATGTGTACTATCCAGCTCTTTTCAGAAAAAGTTTGCCAACCCCTGGTTTAGACTATTAACATTTA